CTTTCCTTCTCACTGTCTCGGTGTTCACAGCTATGAAAGGAGAATAATGATATTGGCCCTCTTCAGAGGAGGGAGGAAAGGGTTGCTGTTCAAAAGCATCATGAAATGCACCCCTGAAAGGAGCTGTAGAAGGAAAAATGTAGCTGATATAAAACAGTGCAGATTGGTGGAGTGACTCTGACTTTGCCAGCTGAGGTTTTGGCCCAATGTACGCACCTCTTGAGAAATCATGGAAGGGGCCTCAAGAGGGCATCTTGTCCAACCCCTTACTAAGGACAGGAGTGTCCCTGTCTTAACCCTTTCAGCTTCCACTGACAGAGATCCCAGAGCCACTTTAGGTGATCTGGTCTGTGCTCACCCACCCGCATAGTTAGACAGCCCTTCCTAAGCTCCAGCCAGACTCTCTGTCTGTGTACAGTTTTCATATAAGGCCAGTTCCTAGGCCGGTGTATTTCTGAGAGGTGACCACAGAGTGGATACTTAGTGTTCCACAGACTACTCCAGGTCTTAGCACCTGCTGGGTATATTCAGGCATCCTCTCGGCTTGTACCTCTGTAACATCATCTCTAGTCATGTTCCCTTTGGCACAGATCTGAAAAACCCAACACCCCGATCCTATAATAACCCACACATCTGCTCCCACCTCCACAGGCGCCTGCTGGCTCATTTCCACTGCATCTCCTGCGACAGACCCCTGGACATGGTGGTGCCTGGCCCGTAAGTCCAAGATCCTGTCTACCAGCGGTGGGGATCTGAGTATGGACTGGCAGAACTGTTTGTCTCCAGAGCGTGCTGGCCCTTTTCCTGCTTGGGGCTGATGGACAGTCACTGCTGGTGGATTTCTTGAGTTCCCTGTGGTGATGGGGGAGATGGTGAGGATGGGAGTGGAAAAAAGAGTGGTACTGGGTGCACCCCTTCCATAGCCTCCACATGCAGCGTGGGTATTGCTGTATGCCCTGTCACAGCAGTTCCAGAACTAGCGGTCTGACTCCCAGGGGCATTTTTGAAGCAGTTTTTGGGGTATGGGGCCAGGCTATTTTCTGTACCATCTCAGGTGTCATCTTAAGTCAGTTTCTGGCTTTTGCTGTGCAGAAAACCCTTCCCAGAGGGATAAGATGCAATAATTAGATTCATTAAAGGTCACTTAGAGGAACTGCCTTGCCCGATCCAAGCACCAGGTTCCCAGGAGTGGTTTGGACTCACTAAGCGTGTCTACACATGCATGTACTGTATAGTAAGTTACTGTGCAGTAAGCGGGTTTTAGACTGGCATCTACACGTGTAGCTGTTACCGTGCAGTAATGTTGTGTGTGCACTGACTTGGGAGTAAAGTTACTCCCAGGTCAGTCCACACAAACAGAGTTACTGCGTAGTAAGGTGTCTACACATGCCTTGCTGTGCAGTAAGTACTCAGGAGTAAATTTGCTACCTGTCTCACGCAGGTAACAAATTTACTCCCGAGTCAGCGTAAGTTACTATAGTTAGTGTGCAGTATGGGTGTGCACATGTAGACACGCACCCGTACTGCACAGTAAGTTTTGGTTACAGTGCAGTAATGATGCACGTGTAGACATGCCCATTACCTGCAGAAAGAATTGCACCACCTTGTTGTGCTGGCCCAAGCGCAGTGCAGGGAACCAGACATAATCTGTGTTCCCCTCCTAGTTCTGCCACTGACTCGCTCGTGTTTCCCTGGGCCAGTCACTTGACCTCTCCGTGTTCCTGACCATCCAAGAAGACGATAATATTTTCCTGGTTAATGAGTTAATGATTTGTGCAGAGCATGGCTAATGGAAAGTGCAATAAAAATGAACCGTGAAGTAACAAGGCCCAGGTGCTTGGCCCTTCCCTGGTCCTTCCTGAGCTACTCACTGGGTGGTGCTAGCTTGAAATCCACATGATGGCTTCATTCCACCTGTGGGCAGGGATCCAGCGGTACAGAGCTCTAAGCTCTAACTGCCACAGTTAGTCCACTGCTACAATCGAACAGGCGCTGCAGTGGGAAAGCAGGGCAGATGGTCAGCAGAATGCCGTATGCATCAGAACTCCTCGTCCGGACACCTATGATTTGCATTACTGCACTTGGGAGAGGTGTGGGCAAGGCCCAGGAATGGGGAAGGAGGGTGTGAATTGGTAGACCAGATAATCCCAAACCCCCTTTGGCCTCCCCATATTCTGGATTTTGGCATAGCATAGGCACAAACTGCTCTAACTTGAGCTGTGCAGAAGGCAGGGAATGGTGCCTTGCACTCACCGAGTTCCCCAGCCTGCCCCTGCCCTTGCCTCTGATCCATTCCCTGTTCCAACAGGCCCTTTTTCCAACTTCTCCACGGGCAAGTGTTGGCACAGGAGATTTTCTCAGGAGGCCGTTTCTACCCCATCAGAGCAGCACTGGGGATTGGGCATAACTGAGAATTGAGCCCAAAGTCTCCGGGCCAGTAGGGGTTAGGATCTTTTGCTAGACCAGGCCCACAGGATTTACATCCCAATAAATTTCTCCAAGAGCCATAAGGGCAGAGAGCAGAATTACATCTGCAGTACCAGACAGATTTCCTCCTTGCCTAGTGGTTCTCCCAGCTGCTTTGGCATCCCTTGCTGGAGAGCAGCCATCCCAGCACGAGACTGCTCGGGCCCCACTTCTAGGATGGAGCCTGCCATCTCCCTCCTCAGCAGTTGCCAACCCTGGACCATGCCAGGCAGTGGATTTAAAGACCAGGCACATTATTGTTCTCCCCTGACTCCTTTGCATTTGGCTCCACCAGGACCATCACGCGCATCCCCTCTGTGCCTATGCTGCCGACTCACCGCTCTGTCCGGCCCTACACTGTCTACGAGCTGGAGCAAGTCAGGCAGCAGTGCCGCAGGTATAGTGTACTCAGGGGCAAGGGATTTCCCTCTATTGTTGCGCTTCCCAGGCAGTCACTTGCAGTGTGGAGACAGGGAGGAGAGTGGGTGAGATGCTGCTGCTAGTTGCAGGTGCCTACATCAACCAGGTAGGTTGCAAGATGGGGATGGGGCCCCTCCCAGAGCAGCCCTTCATTTCCATCTGCCACATCATTAGAGACATGTAGGGCTCTCCCCACCTCCACTTCTCTGGGGCTCAAGGTCTCCTCTTCTAGGGGGAGCACTGCCTGTGTACCTTCTTGGATGTGCTGATGTACCACTGATCTTTGCCAGCTCAATGAATGGCACTCCAGTGCCTTCCTGAAGAACAGCACCCTTATCCCTTCACCTGGGAAGGCGCTTTTCCTGGGGGAATTTATTTACAGACTATTGAAAACTGTCTCTGGGCCAGAGCTTTACCCAGGTGTTTAAATCACAGCCCTGAGAGTTATGGTAACTTACAGAAGTGCCTGTACTGCAGGAGTTTGTGTCCCAAGTCCTGCACCAGCCTGTGCTGGGCTCGGTGTGAACTCTTGGCTGGATTCTCTAGGAGCATTTTCTTGGATTCCTTCAAAGCTGGGGTCAGGAATCCAGAGGGAACAACTTAGTTCATTACATCAAGAAACCCCATTGATCTCCTAAGAGGTTGCGTTGGGATAAGCCAGAGCAGAGTTTGGCCCTGTTAGATACTTGCAAGGGGTCAGCTGGCCCTTCCCTCCAAGCCCATGCCCAATCCCAAGGGAAACTTTTTAAACACCTTCATGTATGACAGTAACGTGTTGCAGGCACATCCCAGCCCCAGACTCGCTGAACCCACCCTGTTTCCCTTGACTGGGAGAGACCACAACACTTCTTGCACGGCCGAGAGAACTACATTGGCCCATGTGCAGCGAGTGCTGTGGGTCCAGCAGGCATGTAGCCCTCAGGAAGGCAAGTAGCCTAAGCAGCTGCTCTAAGGAGAAGCCTCATCACAGAGCATGAACCCTGCAGCATGGGGTACCCTCGTGCTCCCCAGAGGGTTCTGCTGTAGGGTGGGAGGTTTACTGGCAGGGCTGAGTGGGGGAGGCCTCTCATAAGGTGAGGACCATGGTGTCCAGCATTATGAAGGGGTGGCCCAGGGGTCCCAGTGCAACTCCCAAATGGTGCTTGTGGGCAGTGCCTGCTGCCCTGTCTTCCAGGAGCAGCTCGTTGGCAAGGCTCAGCCTCTCTCCTGGTGCCTTAGCCCTGCTTAACGATGTGATTTCTCCTTTCCTCCCCCCTCTCTGGCTCTGTCTCCCCCAGCCTGAGGTTAGGAGCTGTCCTCTCGCCTCATGCTGATGGGCTCCTGCTGGAGAAGAGCACGGGCCTGGGCGGGCTGCACAGCGTCCACTCCAAGATGCTGATGGATATAGAGAAGGTGCAAACCCACTATGGGGGCACGGCGAGGGCCAGCAGTCAGATGATCAGGGAGCTGCTGCAGTCACAGTGTCACAGCCTGGGCCACTATCACCAACGGTAGGACAGCAGGTCTGAGTCAGGGGCACTTGCCCAGGAGCTGAGCTCAGAGCATGGCCCAGGGCCCAGGAGAACTGCAGAAAAGGGACCATGATGCCAACTCTCAGCAGAGAGCTTCAGGTCCAGGGCAGTCCTGAGCCCCATCTTAGTCGGTATATTCTGTAGAGCCTGTTAATGAGTGAGGCTCAGGCCCCTCTCCCAGCTTGCTGAGCATACCCTTCCCCCATCCTGACTGACACAGAGGGCCCAGTCCTAGAGTCTTCTGATTCTCCTTATGGCTGTCAACTGTTTGCCATCCCTGCATCCACTATGGCTGAGCAGGCATCTTGCTTGGAGATGCAGCTGGTGAAGGGCTCATGTTGCTCTCTTTCTTCTCTTCCCCAACACCTCTAAGGTGTCTCCTCCACCCCTAGTGTATGATACAGCCTTGGGGCAGAGAGGAGGAAAGGGTTGTGATCAACATGTGGCAGGAGACGGGCAGAGGCTCGGCAAAGCAAGCAATGCACAGCCAGGGACCTATGTCTCTCTGTGCCTCACAGGCACACAGGGCTTAGCTGGTCCAGCATCTTGTCTCCAGCATTTGTAAATACCAGAGGCTCCAAAGCACCCTGTAATGGCAGCGGACAGAACAGGCTGCCCTGGGTGCAAGGTTGGCCTAACCCACCATTAGTCAGAAGTTGGCTTCTGCCCCTGAAGCACAGCACTTAGTGCATCTCTCCCAGGGGAGGCACCCACTGCGTATGGTGGACGTGGGGCCCGATCTGACCAGAGGGGATGTGTCATGGGAGGAAGGCAGAGTGCTGGCTTGAGACATGCGCTCAGCATTTGAGGGTCCATAGCAACGTCTCTTCATGCTCAAACTGGCCTTTGGACTTCAGAAGTGTTCAACACACTGAGGAGCTGCTTGATCTGAGCCATGTTGAGGCCAATTCTCTAGCTGTTGTCATGGTAGCCACTCACTTCAGCCAACAAAGCTCTTTGTGAGGAAACCTCCGTGGTTTCACTGCTGGCTTTGTATTCCAGTGGGTCAGATCCTTCTCAAGACTCACCCCCTTGCTCCAGCAGTAATCATTAAAACCAGTATAGAGTAGACCACAGCAGCTTCAAAGAGAGACAGCGCAGGGCAGAGGAATGACATCCAGCAAAGGGGATCTTGGCTTCCCCTGCTGCCAGTCCTCTCCATGCAGCCATCTGTCATTTCCTTGGAGCTGTTGGCTACCTGTCATTGTGCATCACTGCTGGTGCTAGGGCTGGGGACCTCCCTTCAATGCCTGGCCGGGCCCCTGAGCCTCTGTCTTCGGGCTGGATGCCTCCCTGGGCTGTCCCCTGCTCTCTGGAAATCTGTTGTACCCTTCTCTTTGAAACCTGTTTGTGTGTATACGTTTCCCTTTGTCTGCCATTCAGCAGCCAGGCTGACCCTTCTCCCTGTGAAGATGGTGGCTCTGTGGATTAGTACAATGGACTTCTCTCTGCTGGAGATCTGGCCTCAAGTTTCTCAAGCACAATGATAAAAAAGTCTGGGCTCATCTTCTCCTTGTTTGGGCCTCCTCAAGAAAGTCTGACCTTGTAAAGTGTTGAGCTGCCTCAGTTTCCCTCAGTGTTAGTGGGATTAAGCCCAAAACCTCCCCGCACTGTGGAGGAGTAGGAGGGAGTGAGGGTCTCATTTGGGTCTGGGGACCCTTTTTCCTAACTCATGTTTTCTAAAGAGATCATGGAAGGTTTGTTTCCCTCTTCTTTCTCCTTAGAAAGATAGGGAACATCCAGTCTGCTTTTTTCTAGCGGATTTATTGGAGGTTTCTAATGTGAACTGGGAGCTTTCTCAGCTCATAAATGACAGGGTAGTGGAAAGGACTGGAACTTTAACAAGGATCACCCTTCTCCCAAGGGTTCTTGGGCATTTGAGTTAAATACCTACCAAAACATTGGGCATGGAATTTTAAAGCAGCTGGACAAAGGCCACTTCCCCTCTCAGTCACTCTGGTGTGGTTTGCTGGCAGGGTCTTACCAGGTTTTTAGCTTTCCATTGGGATTTTTGGGAAGGGAAAATAGGATAAGTGAAACACCATGGTCTAGTTTAGTAAAGATGGAGGATATTTTTTTTTTGCCAGGCTCTCTTTGTATACGCTAAAGCCAGCACAAAAGGTCACATCCCCAGCCCTGTCCCCTGCAGGCCACTCTTGATATTAAGGGGTTGGTAGAAGGAGTCCTACGATACTTTGAGGACTCACAGTCCAGTGGTGAAGAGAAGGCCTTTGCTCTGGTAGCCAGCTGGGCTTCGCAGGGTGGCCTGCAGGGTTCTCTGCCATTTCGCTTGCTGAGTCTGCAATGTTGCCTTCCTACAGTGACAAGATGGCAGAGATGGAGTGTGGCTACCTGTCCGTACCTCGGCATTGTGGTGGCAGCCACACCATCACCTACCCCTACAGGCGCTACACACGGCTGCAGCAGATTGCCCATTGCGTGCCAGGGCACCCAGGGGAGACAACTATGCTGGCAGTGATGAAGGTAACAGTGACTACATAAGATAAAAATAAAAGCCGGGGGGACGTGGGGAGGGA